CTCGATCCGGTGAAAAGGTGCTAGGCTTTCGTCCATCAAATGTCGGACATGATCAGAGCGAGGTACCATCGTCACAAAAAAATTCAAGCTGTCTCTTGACTCGTTAGCTTGAATTTGGTTGTGATGATGGTACCTCGCTCTGATCATGTCCGACATTTGATGGACGAAAGCCTAGCACCTTTTCACCGGATCGAGTGAGGTTGCCTCGGAAACAGCGTCAGCATAAATCTTTCAGTAAAGCCAATCGACAACTGGTCAAGAGTAATCCGCCGTAGTCTTCTTGTGGAACCCACGTTCGAATCTCTTCACCGCACACTTTCACTCGAAATGGAAGCAAGCTCAACAAAGTCCAATCAAGCTCTTTTGGGTAGATTGCTTGTTTGCGTTTTTCCATTTGCTGAGTTGTGGTCAGGTCTCTTGGGACTTAGGCGCCTCCATTCAGCCTCTGCTCTCGTTAATGCCGACTGGACTTCAGCTGAAGCATTTATGTACATGAGCATGCTTTTTCCGTTCAAGATTAAGCCATTTTAAGACAAGTTGCTAGTTTCTAATGCAGTCGGTTGTAGGCCAAACTGGGCTTGGTCGGAGCGCCAGGGAGACCATGTGGAACGTACCCATTCCCGTGTCGTCTGCCAGGCTTGGTCTTGTGTCTTTATGAGAAAAAAGCCGAGCAGGAACCGCCAAAGTTTCGAGGGAAAGAGAGAAATGTGGCATCAACTTGTACAAGAAGACGGTGCGAAATGAAAGCGCATCGAGACTGGGACTCTAAGTCGCTGGGTTTGATGGTAAGAGTGACGTCGAAGAGACCGAGAACAAGCGTGGAAATCATCGGGACATTTGATTGGATGGAAACTGTCTACATTCCAGATTGCATAGGCTGAAGAAAAAGGCGAGAAAGTTTGATTTTGCCCCAAATCGCATTGCCTTCTACTCAGCCCCACCTCGACAGGCACAGTCTGGGGCTCATTCGAGTTCGAGTCCTGACACACTTTTCAGGGGTCAAGGAGAAGATTTAACGTCGCTTCTTCGTCATCTTATGCGACCCGACGTGAAAGCAGTTTATACTCAGCATCTTCTCGTGGCATCGAGGCGTAATCAACATGGGCATTCTTCGACTGGGTCCTTCATTTGCAAACTGCACTCGACCACCATCACAAGCACGACTTTACGAAGCATTTGAACTCGTGTCATCCGGCCACCGGCGAACATGCGATGTACACGACCGACTTGATTGCTCTCTTCTACCGCACCTCGGTCGGTACAGATGCATGAATACCGTCAGGTTTCACACATGCTGGGGTCGTGCAAAACGATGTTGCCTTTTGCACGAACCACCAAACTTGGCTAGACTTCCGAGGCGAAAAATTCTCGGAATCTTCTATACCACATCCGCATGGACGTCTCCGGCCTACTTCTTGCATTGGAACTTGGCAACACTTTGATGCGGAAAAGAGGACAGAATATGGACGTGGCAAGTTGACTGTAGAGCGCAGGATGCAAGACTTTTTCCACTCGACAGAAAAGGGCTTAAAGTAATCGAAAAAAATGTTCCAAGATGGCTAAATCAAGTGTTTTTACAGAACATTAAGTCTATATCAGGAGGAATGTAGACGCGACCCTGGATTAGTAAAAGCAGTTGGAGAGTACTTTTCATTTAACTGATAGTTGTTTTACTTTCAATTGATGGCGCTCGAAAAGAAATGTCCACAGCAGATCTTCACCAGCAGGTGGACAAAATGACCCATTCCTGTTTTTATTCCAGCCGGCTTGAACATAGTTTTGGAAGTATCCGCCCAGCCCAATTGGATGGGGATGCAAAATATGAAGACCAAGATGGCGTGGCCTTCTGTTTGGTCGCAGTCTCCTTTAACTTTATAATGTTGTTGACTCGACCTGGTTTTCGCAACTTGGGCGCAGCCTCAGCAAGAGCAACTCTGTTGTTATTAACAAAGAAGAATAAGAGTAAAATGGGTTCAT